GCTAGAACATCTTGCTTACTCAGCCTAGTCAGGTGATCAGGTCATATGAGGTCATGCACAGCCATGCACAGCAGGTCACCTGACCATCCAATCCTTCCAGCAGGTTCCAGCACATGCCAAGATATACCAGCTACTTCCATGTCATAAAGGCTTAGTCATGTCTCTTGACCAAGCAATGAGCTGGTGCCCTGACATTGGCCCATTGTCATAACACCCTCCTAGCCAAAGCTGCATGCTTCCACCAAGAACACAATCACCCATCATAAGCTTCATTAGTAGTTAATGACTAGTACTAAACATCTAGTAAGATAAGTACTCACCAGATTGAGAACTTGAGGGGTGAACTCCCCATACCATGCAATCCTGTGGAGGCATCCATTGATGCCCACTTGCCACAGGTGGACATCATGGCCCAGGAGGTTGTAACCATCATGAGTCACACCAGTGATAGTGCGAGGAGCCTCAGAGATGCACTGCTGGATAGTGTTCCAAGCACCTGCAGTCAGACCACGGATCAGCTGGCAAGGGCCAGGGGAGGGGTTGGGGCCATTGGCAGGCATGGTCATGCAAAGCATTGAGAAACAATTTGAGATGGGAGTGGGAATGAGATTCCCAGGAGGTAGTGGGAGGGGGTTCTGCCAACCCCCCCATGCCTACCATGGGTCCCATCAAGACAGTCATGGCAGGAGTATGGGAGGGATGGGCCGGGATCATCAGTGCACTCGAGATTGAGACTGAGGGACCATTGGATGGCATGACCAAGTTGGTGTTTGAGGGAGGGGAGGGAGTGAGAGCTTGAGCTGCAATCAAAGCTAGCATGAGACCTTGGTGATGAGGTGATATGCACACTAGATGTTGGTGTGAACAAATCCTTGTCCCCACTGCCCATGTTCCTGCCTGAATCAGCATGTGTGTTTGTGGTGACAAATGGGTTCAAGGAGGTGATGTTGTCTAGGAACCAGTCAGCTAGATCTCACAATGAACAAAAACGAGTACTCACTGTTTTCCATTTCTGAGTCCCCATTGTCATCTGTATTGAGAAAGTCCATCACTCATGCTGAGTGAAGGGCTTTGAAGTGTTTTTGAGGAGCCACCTTGTTGTAAGTTGTTGTGCATTGTTGACAAGTATTGTGGGTTCAGATGGGAGATGGTGGTAGAGATGAGAGATGGGGGGGATGGGGATGTGGATTTCTTGGAGATAAATTCCCCCTGAACCCCCACCGTGCACCACTTGAACAAAGCCTCACTGTCTAGGCCCCCACAAATGAGCCCTCCAATCTCACACATTATTCGAATTTATCTATGCTCATCTGCCTAGTACCTCATTAGTTAGAACTTGTTATTTTATCTAGTACACAAATTTTGTATTCTAGATAGCTGTATGTCTCATAATGATGAGTTTTAGACTCAACCTTAGTGTTTTGCGTGGCTTGGCACAATAATTCCTTTGATTTCCTAGTGTGGGGACTTACAACACAACTGGACAATAACACTTCAAGTTCATGGATTATTTTAAAAACAGTACCTAGCTGTCAATCTAGTATTTAATGAATTTTTGAATTAGTTTCACTCACCAGCTCTCACATTCTTTTCAAAAATCTAGTTTTAGATCAGTGCCCTGCCAGATGAGTCATCATCCTTGCTGCTCATTTGGCAAATCCTTGATTGTTCATGTGCCCTAGATCAATGGGGCTGCATTCCGTGCATGGGAGTCTCAGGTGTCTTGTCTTGAGATATATTTTGGCCTGGGTACACCTACTAGATTAGGTCATGGCCTAGTAGCTCTTGTTCTATGAGAGCTACTAGGTAGGGAGCCTGGTTTGTCAAGTAGATGTCATTTATAGAAATGAGAATCTATGCATAGGTTTACATTAATCAGTCATTACAAGCCCTCAGTCTGTATTCAAGTAACTAAAATGTAAGGTTATTGAGAGCACAGGTCATGTGCTCAAAGGCTTCTGTGCTGTTGTCATCTGCATCAGCATCACCAACATTGTACAAATCTGCTTCCTTGGCGGATGCTTCTTGTTTCATTGATCTTGCCTGCTCAATTTCTGCTTTGGTTTCTTCTGCCTGTGATGGGCTCAGGCCATGAACCAGGGGGATAGAAGCTCATTTGCTGATCAAGGTATCACCAGAGAACCCCGGCAGTGAGAAGCTATCAATGATCCAAGCAGCAATCACATGATTGATTAGCTTGCGATATGCTAGATGTTCTTGCATCTCTGCAGCTAGCAACACATCACCTGAGCTTTGGACGGCCTTGAGTTTTGGCAGCATGTCAGTCAGCTCAATGTGTATCATGGTCCACACTCGCCAAATCTCTACATCAAGTCATCGAATTTCCTCCATAGCACAGCAGACAAGGAGCCATTGGACCAAGGTGGCTTGAATCTCTGGCTTTGCCCACTTGCACTCATGCACATCATCTTGAGAATACTGCAGGAGTGAGAAATCGGAAAGCCAGTAGTAGGCAAGGACTTCTCACAGCATGGGTATAGGTTGGTGGACACAGGCAGCAAGCTCATTGTACTTGTTGAGGGCAATCCAAATTGCATTGCTTCTTCTTTGTAGTGCCTCTCCTAGCATGCAACACATCTTGTAGCCTAGGTTGCAATCAGTACTTGAGGATGTACTGGGACAGACCTGTTCCCTGGAGATCCAGCTTTTTGAGCTCAAAAAGCCATTGAACCACCAATGATTCTAATGAATCCAAGGCCTTGTTATACTCTCAGAAGTTCAGGTCAATCTGGGTCTGCTGCCACTTGGCACACTCCGGAGACCAGCAAGATGTCCATAGTAGATGCTTGTATTCAACTGCCAGTTTCTCCAAGTGCTCGATCATATTGATTGCCACAATGTATCCTCATTGAAGTGCCCATTCACACATGTTGCTAGAACCTGAGTACCAGGTTTCTGGTGTAGTGTTGACAAACCCATCAAGTCCAAGCTCAGCAAGCCTTGATCTAGGAACCGTGTTAGCAACATGTCATGAGAGCCAATGAAACAGACTCATTTAGCTGCTGCTAGACTTTGCAACATCTCAAGGTAGTTGAAGGCAAGTACATCCTCTTCTGGTTCTGTGACAAGGCAGGAGAAGTATTCCTCTTCCTCATGGATGTATCAAGAGAAGTCTTCATCAGTCAGATTTTGCTGTTGCTGGAACTTGATGACCAGTGGCTGCATGGTTGTGAAGATATGCAGGGCTTGGCAGTAGTTCTCATACAAAAAGTCAGCTGGATCTGTATCAGCAAATAGTGAGAGCCAAGGAAGAATCACTTACCTAGTCCAGCTTGCCTGTCCTCATCCCATCTAGTCCAGAAGAAGTGGAGACTCGTGTGACAATGGTATTGTGAGCCATGTCAGAACAAGTGTGCTGTCATGTTCTGTTTTGAGAAAATCTGCTCATTGGTTTTGAAGTCTTCTAGTCCAGCAGTGGCAAGAAAACAAGGGTGGAAGCACAGTTGACACTTTCGGTTTTGGGCATATCCGTGAAATGCCCCCATGAAGAACTGGAGACTGAGGGCTTCAGCATGAGCACCCAGCATGCTACAAGTGACCATTTTGGAGTGCTTGCAGCCAATATTGTAACCCACTGCAACACCTGTGCTGAAGACATCTAGTACCTTGCTCAAACACACTAGGGAGTATTTTGCCCTAGATTGCAAGTTAGTATAACATCTAGATTGTAAAGCAAGAACAGAATGGTACATACAACTTGCCAGATTGGATCATATCTGCGGACCACAAGATCATGCCATGTTGACAAGCAACTAAGAAGTTACCCATCACATGCAGGCCCTCCATCCAATGTGAATGCTTGTCCTTAGCCTTCCATGTCTTCCACTTGGAGGTGCAGACCTCCCCAGGATTCTTGCAGGCAGTTGGTGCACTGCCAGAATGAGAACACAGGGCATCCAGAGTGCTTGTGGGTGTGTGCAAGTTATTTGAGATACTGAGAGAACTTGCCTTCTTGCTGTGCACTTTCCTGTGTCCATGTTCCTTGTACAGGTCCACAAACTCAGGGGAAAGGACATAGTTGCTGGGAAACTGTTGGAGGTCTTGATATCTGGTGGCAGGGAATCATTTGCTTGAATTATTGCCATCCACCGCCACAAGTTTACTATGCTGCAAAGAGGGCTTGCCATGTAGCCAGAGAGAGTCAGCATGCACCTAGATCTAATTCACAGAACTTACTCAATACTTGCAAGCACTGCATGAGTTGAGCAAGTGCCAATTAGGGGCATTGTAACCAAATCCCGCCTTCACTAGCCCTTTGATGTACATGATCATCTCAACCCATGCATCATATGCTTGACACAGCTGGATTCAAAAGTAGCATCAATATGGGCACTGCTCTCCAGTCAATCCGTGAGCAACTGAGAAAGAAGGAAACTCTACTCACTCAATGTAAATTGCACAAGATATGAGTGAAGGCCTCATGTGACATGTAGGCTCAAATACAACAGTGGTGGAGGACTTGCAGCACATCCAGCGAGATTGCAACATGAGGGATAGCAGGGGTACATGGCATGAATCCCTGCTCGACCAAGTGCGCAATAAGATCTTCTCTGTCATTCAAGCAGTGAAACTGATGGTAAGACGACATGAATTGGATTTGTGGAATGCAGCATCATGACTTACTCTTCCAAGTCACAATTTGCAACTGAACCGAGTCCATGTTCTGATTCTCCTCACTTGTCAACTCATTATTATCCCCTGAGCCTACTGCACCCCCACCATGTCACCAACTCATGAATGCATGTCCAATTGAAGGTACAAGGTGCTGCCAATGACTTGCCATGGAGGCAAGTTGCTTTGCATAACGGCCTTGTCCTCTAGTGTATCCTGGACCATGATGGGATGCCCTAGATAGGCATAATCAGAACTTGAAACCTTTGCAGGAATGGGTGGTCATACCAATGTTGGTTCCATTATGCATGCAACCTGCACTGCTGCTCGTCTCTTGCCCATTTGGAGAACTGTTCATCTGTCTCCCACTCATCCTCAGTGTCCTCATCCCTCTCTCCTTGTTCGAAGGGGATTGCACTGGGAATCCCCACATTGACAGTGTCATCATCCATCATCAAGTCAGCCCTGCCATAGCTTTCCGTGAGGTACTGGAATGCTTGTGTGTCATCAGGCACTGGTGATCCAAGTAAGTCAGTGTGGATCGTGAACCCAGGGAGCACATGCATACCACTTCACCATGAACTTGTTTCTTCTTTTAGCTGTTCCTTGTATGCATAGATGGCCTTGTAGTTTAAGGTCTCTCTCTTTGCTAAGGTAATACAAGGAGCAAGGCCATGTTGGTACTCCTTCCTCATGTTGACATGGTGTTTTTGCCTTTGAGTGGCACTATCCTTGAAGTCAGCAATCCAGAAGGCTCTAGAGGTTGATGCATGGTTGTGGGGAATGGTCAATGGGGAGGAGAAAGCATTCTTTCAAGAGACAGGCATTAGTTCAAAAAGGAATAGCGAGGACTAGTACCAGTTTATGCCTAGGGTGTACATTGCTTGATGTGTGTGTTTCTCTAGTCATGTGCAGTAGGTCTTGGTGGTCTAGGTTGCCTCTGCAGGGGGCAGACCAAGACCCAAGGGTTCTGTCCAGATTGGGTGGTAGTAGGGCTGGATGAGCTGGATCGCGGGGTCTTTGCGGTAACAAGTGATTCCGTGGCGGGGCTGCATTGCGCCCCGTTCACGGGTTTGTGCACAGGGGCCCGAGGTACGGGTGAGGATGAAGGTATACATCATACCAAAAGTGGAATACCTTTTCTAAAGCGGGATGCCCAATCTGGCTGACTTCTGGGCAGTTCGGCGAGTTTCGAAAGGTTAGTAAGCCATGTATTACTTAACTTACAGGGTAAGAGGATCGGCCTGAATAATGCTGTGCACCGCAGAATCCAGAATCAGCTCCAGAAATCCAGAATCTAGGAATTTAGTGGGTTGTCCAATTCAGCGGGAAGCAGGAGAAGCGAGGGTCAGAAAGCTGGATATTACACGGATGCATCGGCATCGGGCGGCCGGCGGAGTGGTCCGTGCGTCGGCAGCAGCTTCGGGGGCGTTCGCGGACGGACGGACGTTAGCGGAGATGTGAGTTTGCGGAACAGACCGTGGCGCGGTGATAGGAGGTGTATAATGTGAGGAGGGGCATTTTGGTGAAGTTGCGTGTGTGCCGTGGATGTGCAGTGTGGGTGCTGGCACACGTGTCATGATGATAACCCTGTCTCTGGTCTTGAGTCGAGAGCGGTAGACTCGGAGGAACGAAACATGCGTTCTGGCCAGTGCTCTGGTTCGGTGCAGCTATAGTGATAGACGAACACTGCGTTGTCATTTTGCACTAGTCGTTGCTGGCAAATGCAGAGCCCAGAGCCAAGCGAGGAGAGCCGATATAACACCCTCATAGGCCCGATTAGGGGGTTATTGTCTTCCTTCTACCCAGAGCGGTGGCTGGGGTCCAGTCTTGTCCGCCCGATTGTTATGGCGACGCGTCGCGTGGGTGTTCACCCTGATCCGCGTACAAGGGCCAGAGTCTGTTCCAGGGTCGGCACTCCCCGCACGCTCAGTCGCTGGCGTGATGGCGCTTGCTCTCCCTTGAGGTTGGACAAGTAGCCACTTTGGTATAAAGGTTGCCAGAGGAGAAGACGCCTTTCTTATGAGCCTGGGAGGCCGGAGTTTCGCGTGCGCTGCACGAGCGCTACATCAATGGGAGTTCCAGGGCAGTGCGAGTGCGGGACAATGGGATTTGTGCAATGATCATGCCCTTCAGTTTCCGTTGTCTAGGATCAGGGATGGTTTTGGATTATGACCACGCTGTTGATTGTACACTTTCGCATGAAGATTGAAGGCCCTGTTTAGCAACGGTGAAAGAGAAGGTGTTTTGATGCTGTGTGTTGTGGTCCTTTCCTGGTTCTGGTTCTGGAAGGGAAGAGGGTCGGTTACGGGTGCTGCTGATAACGCGGATAGGCACGGAATCAAAAGTTTGGATCAATAATAAGAGAGAAGGGAATTTGACCCCGATGGAATAGCAGGTAAAAGAGTGGGGGTGCACACGGGGTCCCGGATTGGTGAGCCTGTGTAACCCTCATACACTTTGGTATATTCCCCCCTTCACGGCCCCTTGTGCCCATCGTCTCTCTTCTCTCTGCCTCCCTCTTTGCTCACCCCCGTCGCCATCGCCTCCTTTTCTTTCAACCACCACCACCACCATCGCCTCGACGACCTCGATAACAACATTTTACTCACAATCTCGCCTCTTGTGTATACCAGTCTCCACATAGTCCACCCACCCACTTCAACCCGGGCAACGCCCACCCCTCTTCAGCAAAATCAATGGCAGCCTCCATCCGCAAGAAATCGGTACAAGGGGGTGCACCCATTCTGGACAGTATAGCCAGTACCATGAATGGCTCAGCCGCCTCCACGCCAATGAGCGCTGGTCCCAGTGCTGCAGGCCCACTCTCAGCACCTTTCATCATGAACACTCTCCTGAACAGGGGCGCATCCTCCTCCTCCTCGCTCTACCAACAATGTTCCAACCTCCGCGCGCGCCTTACACGTCTCTCAGGCTTCTCCCCGTTCTTTACCATCGCCGCGACTTCCCCTCTCTCCGCACACCCGCGGAATAGCACCTTCGACGGGCAGTTTGCTAATCAGCCGAAACGCGACTCGAGCAACCCTGTGAACCAGCTCTGGGATCTTTTCCGACTGGGTCTACCACTTGTGTACATTTGGAACCTTGAGCCTCCCTACGGGAGCGAGCCTATCACCTCCGTCGATGGGAATCCAGAGGCACTCGAAAGCGAAAAATTCAACCTTAACGAGGCGAAGAAGGCGATCCTCTTCTTCAGCATGGGTATCACCAAGCTGAGCAAGACGGGTCAGTGGAAGGGCCCCCCGGGGTTCACTGTCAGTGACCTGCAGGGGGAGGATACAAACGGGTTCGTCAAGGTGCGTTGTTTGTTCGGTGTCTAACCCCGCATACCCCTAACTTGGTTGCTACGCTAGGTCGTACATGCTGTTTCTCATCTCCTTGACCTGCTCCCGCCCACCATTCTCCCACCTGCAGAAGCAGAACCCTCTGCCAGCGCTTCAGGCGCATCGGACGCTCTCCGAGCCGCCCTCCCAGCCTCCGGGCAACCCTCTGCTGGCCCCTCAGATGAGCACGAACGGTCACGTAAGCACGTGATCAACGAGCTCCTAGCGACCGAGAGGAAATATGTGCAGGATTTGGAGAACTTGCATGTGCGTCATCTTCACTTGTTGCATGTGTCATTACGTGAAACGCGGACTCGATCGAGCGGTGCTGATGGGGGATCTGATACAGGATTACGCGACTGCCCTGGGCCGACAGAAGATCCTCACCCAGGACACGATCCATGAAATCTTCTCCAGCCTGCGACACATCCTTGATCAACAGCGTCGCTTCCTCATCGAGGTAGAGAAGACCGCCGAGCTGCCCGATGCCGAGCAAGACTGGGGTGTGGTATTCACCAGCGCGCAAACCTTGTTTGAAACCTACATCCCCTACTGCGCCAACTTCAGCAGAGCAGGCGAAATCGTCCTTAGCGAAATGGATCAGCTGATTGTGAGTCCCTTCGTGATTGATGGGCTGGACACGCGTTTCTGATTATGACGCGTGCTATGCGGATCAGCAATTGCCCGACGCGAAGATTGACGCGCGGAGCGAGCTCCAAGCTTTCCTTATTAAGCCTGTGCAGCGCATTTGTCGCTACCCCTTACTGCTCAAGGTAAGCTCCGAGCACTGTGCCCCATGTTGTTCCCCATGCCAACCTATACACAGGATTTGCTCAAAGCAACACCGCCATCAAATCCGCATCACCAGTCGGTGTCTGATGGTTTGCAGGCTGCAGTTACCTATGCCGAGCATGTGAATGAGAGCCAGAGGAAGTACGAGAACCAGCAGACAGTGCGGGCTCTCCGCCGGCGTGTGGAAGATTGGAAGGGGCATCATCTAGATAACTTCGGGGACCTTGTCCTTGATGAGATCTTCATGGTCACCAAGGGTGACCAAGATAGGGAGTATCATGTCTTCCTCTTCGAAAAGATCATCCTATGCTGCAAGGCAAGCCGCGTTTCCTTTTCTGAAAACTGCAAATCAGACTAAGTACTCTAGCAGGAACAACCAACTAACCCGAATGGACCCCAGGATGGAAAGAAAAAGAACGCCCTCACGGGGAAGAACAACTCGCTTCTGCGCAAGGGCGCTGGTACGCCCGGGCCACCCCCACCCCCACCCCCTAAAAACGCGCGCACGACTCCGCTCAGTCTTAAGGGCCGCATCTATCTAAGTAATATCATACGAGCTTCTGCTGATCCCCCTCAAAGTAAGTTCCTCCCCCCTGACCTGGTGTAACCGAAGCTGAGGATACTCGTAGCCGGTGGATCTGCTTATGGTGCTTACTCGACCGCCTACCCTCTCATCATAACCTGGACCGATGTGGGCAACACACAAGAATTCCTCATCCTCCGCTGTCGCAGCGAGGAGCAGCTGCGCCAGTGGGAAGGCGCGATTAGCAGGCTTATCACTGCCCAGCGGGAGAAGCGCGACGTCCGCAGTCGTGGTGCCTCTATATCCACCTCCCACGCACCGATACACGAGCGCGGCTTCAGCGTCGGCGCCGATGCCCGCCCTCCTACCATCCCAGCCCCAGGTGGTCACCCATACATGCACCAACAACGTCCCACGCGCGCATTCCCTCCCCCGTCCTCTTCCCAGGCACCCGATTTCTCAGACCGTGACAGTGACACCATGACAGCCCAGCCTCGGAGGAGAGATCACGCAGCAAGTGCTTCCGTCCGCGGGCAGGAACCACCCTTCGTCATGCCCCAGCGCGCGCGCACGGAAGGCACCAACGGCCCTACCAACACTGCTTGGCGCGAGCAGTACCCATACGGCGTACCCCCACCTATGCCGCGTATGATGTCGAACATGTCCACTCAGAGTGCGCAAAGTGAGGCTAGCTTTGGGAACGCGCCTGCTTCCCCGATGTCGACGAATGGCCAGCTCCCGCCTTCGAGGCCTGCGAACGGGACCAGCAATCGGCCACCCAGTCAGAGCAAGATGCGCACGGTGCAGAACTTTGCCAGCGCTAGCTCGCCTGACGTGCCTGCTGTCATGAACGTTGTTCCACCGCGCAAATCCTCTGCAATGCGTCTCGATAGCGAGAGCACTGGCAATCGCAGTAGGAGCGTATCCACCCCTGCACCGTACGTGCCTCAGCAAATTCGGGCTCTGCCCCCAGTGCCTGTCCCCCCTCTGGCGATCAGCACCGGCAACCAGAAGCGTGAGAGTGGGAGCAGCCAATCAACAGCTGAGGAAGGCACGGACGACTCGGACTCCCCCACCTTCCCCTACCAAAGCCCGGATACGCCGTTTGGATCAAACGACAGCTCGCTCCTCGCTACTGCGAACGCGCAGCCGCCGATGCCCAACATGCAGTATATACGCCCTCAACCGCCGCTCCCTACTCAGAGCGCCCAGGTCGTGCCTATGGCCGCTGTTTCGCCCCCTCTTCGTGCTACTCGCTCGCAGGTGTTCTCATCTCGCAGTAACTCGCCTGTCACGCAGAACCTTCCGCCCTTGCCGTCCCCTGAGGTTCCTACGATCAACAAGCCGATCATGGTCAAGGTGTCCTTCAGATCAGACTTATTCGCCCTTACTGTGCAGCGCAACATTGGCCATCAGGAGCTCATGAGCAAGCTTCGAAGGAAGATTGAGCTCTGTGGTGGAGAGTCTCTTGGGCCACTGCGCATAAAGTACATGGACGAGGAGGGCGACCTCGTCAGCCTAGGAGGACCGGACGACCTCGCAATGGCGATGGAAGTTGCCGGGCAGACCCACCAGATCAAGTTGTTTGTTCAACATTGATCTACCTTTGTGACTCTTTCGATTTCCCATTTTCTGGATCTACGACTCGCGAACGAACCTCGAACCGACTAGCCAAGAAAACAAACCAGATTGTGTACTATTACCCGGATCGAAAGGATCTCTTGTATCAACATACCTCTACGTCATATTCTCCCTTGGAGCCCCAGTCCTCTCGATTTCCCCGCGCCTCGACGCTCTGTGAGCGCGCCTGTAATAGGCGAGCCAGACGGCGGGGACATCGGTCGTGTTTACCGATACTACCACACCTTTGGGGGAACCGTTCCGCAGCGCACCGCATCCGTATATTTGTCTCCTCTCCATTTTGATCCGCTTGTTCGTTGTCACATAGTTTTTGGCTTGCCATTGTGTCGCTCCCCTCGACGCGCTCTATCCTGATGTATCTTAATCATGTGTCTCCCTTCTTCTACTTGGAAGAGGCTGGAATCTTGGTCTTAACGGGGGCGTAGTTGCTAGACTAGCAGGAAAGTGCAATGAGAGGAACCCATAATCATGACATTCAGATGTGCCTTGTGTGTGTAAGATGCAGTATTGCCTCGCCCCTGCATGTCCGGTGATGCTGATTTGAAACTCATTACTCCTCTGCGGAAGTTCTGATGCATTGCCTCAGTACGAATATATGTAACAATTGCCACAAAAGTATCGGCATTATACGGGATAGAGTCCAAAAGCTGCCGAGCTCCTTTCCCACGAGACATGCACGGAATGAGTCTTCAAGGGTCTCACCGCATGTTGATATACCTCGTGGCTCTTGGCCAGGCACAGCTCTTTGCTCCTTGTGTGGCTCACTTCAACCGATTGGTCCGGCGCCAGTCCTTGTTTTCTCCTGCACGTTCCTTCTTGTTCACCGGGCGCCTTTCCGACAGAATGTCCGCCCGAAAAGTGGAGTGTTCTCTGAGCAGGCAATGCCGCAAGAAGGGCCAGTCTCCGACGGAGATCGACAAACCTCTGCTCTTGACACCCGCTAAGTAATCACACTCTTGCAGAGAACCCTTTGTGGCACTCTCAATCTCAGGAGACCTTTGCAGGTGACTCCGAGACATGATATGCATAAAAGCGACATCTTCTTGCATCTAGCATAATGTCTTTCAATTCAACAACAGACACTGAATCTCAACATCTCCTGGAGGACTTCAAACACGACATGTCCACGGTCATTCAGAACCAGGATGGCTCTCAGGATATCATCCGAATGCGTCGACTGCCGACCGAATATCCTGAGACGCCGTCTCATGTTATCACCACATCTCCCGAGGCGCTCCCATCCTTCGCCAGTCCCGGTCGTCCAGGCCTCGAGCATCGGAGCTCGAGCCAAAAAACAAATGATTCATCCAAAGATCCCTATACCAAGGCTTCCGGTGGTCGTCCCAACCCTCCTCGCCGGCCGGTCTTCAGCAAGGACTGGTGGAGCTCCGTCTCAGATGACATTGAACGCGAAGGCCAGAAGATTGACGGGGTCTTTTCTATCCCTATTCCCTATACGGGAAGATACCTACGCTTCAGGATCTTTCGCTGGTGGCTTTCTTTCGACGGTCTAGTCATGGTTGGAATCCTCGTCCTTTACACGATTCTTGCGCTTTTCGCATGGAATTCCACACGAGCCGACCACAACAACGCGTTTGTTCTTCCCTCAACAGACAGTATATTTGTCATTACCACCTTGTCGACCGCTGGAACAACGTTGATCGGAATGCTGGTCGGTTCCGCACTCGAAGCCGTTCGTTGGCGCAAAGCCGTGAGAGGTGTCCATGCGGCAACCTTCTTAGGCTTGTCGCAAGCCACCGGCGTTCAAGGACGACTAGCATTACTACGTTCTTCCCCCGTAGCCCTATCGACAAAAGTCTGGGTGATGATTGTGTTCGCCTTCGCTGGGGTAAATTACCTTCTTTCCAACATCCTCACTGTTGGTCTTACATCCGCAACCATCTTCCGTGTCAACGACTGGAAGGTCAACACCATGTCAGGGATCGGGCCTTGGATTCCATACGATATGACGACACTTCTATATCCCACCAACACAAACATGTCGATTCGAATCGCTTATACGTACGATTCGTTTACCTCAGATACCACGCAAGTCTACCAGCTGACCTCCAATATCACCAAATTCACTGGCTCGCAGTACACTCCAACCAGTACGGTGCGAACCCTCTGCGACGATGGTTGCTTCGCGTATATGCTCCCCGGCACGATCGGGCAAATCATCACGTCGGGCCCACAACCCCCCCTGGGCCAATTCTACTGTAACGGGGCAAACCCTCAGGATTGCATTAATCCACCGTTCGTGTTCGACGTGGACGGACTTCAAGCACTTTATGTCTGTGAACCGAGTGACCAATTGTGCGTCGCAAATGCTTTGCTGAACGATCGGAAATCGCCCAATCGATCGAGCTATTCAACCATCAACACCAATTTGACCTCTTGGAACAACTTCAACATTAGTGATACGCTGCGTACCCATGGACCCGCTGCCGTGCTTTATTACGAGCCCTTCACGTATGATGGGCCCGCCGCAGCGTCCAACATGACTGCATGCCAATTATTCACTCCGCATCCGTACGCCATGAACATCTGCTACAAGGAAATGGACTCCTCCAGCATTGCGATTGGCTGGGCAACTTGCGATCCCGTATTGCACAATTGCACACTATCTGACACCGCTTGGCGCGAGAATCTAACGTCCTCTACTATTCTGTCCTTCGAACAGCACTACGTTGGGCTCATCCACTCTTTACCCACCGGCGCACTAACCGGCATCGAAATATTCGATGCCCCGACACCTCTGACGATCAACAGCACTCAATTCTTCACCGTTGTGGCCAACATATTCGCTCAGGGCACTGCCATCACTAATCTTATATACAATACCGCTATCAGCCCGGATCTGGCGCGTTTTGGAGCTGACTTGCACATGCGTGATTTGCTCAGCTGCACATACTCAATCGGGGCCTCTCAAATACAAGTTGACGCCCCAGCCGGCGCAGATGTACCTTGGAGCAACGCGGGAGAAGCGGGCATCGATACGGCCACCGACAGAATAGTTTTATCGCTCACTTCGATAATCATTTTTGCGGTGTTTGCGGCACTGACCCTCATTCTTTGCGCCCTCATGTTTGCATACTCATCCTCGGAAATCACACCTAACAATACCGATTTTGCAGAACTTGACATCACGGCGCGTGCATCTCACTTGCACCTGTTCGATGGCCTTTCGAATGCCGATAACGATGAAATCGTGTCTAAGATTGGACAGGAGTATTTGTGGCTGGGGGAAAGCGAGGATGGGAGGAGCGTGGAGATCTCGAGCGAGAAGCTTACGCCGCTGCAACTGCGGAAGGCCTACTTCTGACCTTGTCACGGTTTTACGTTTGCGCCATATTGAATTATGCTGGTTGTTGTATCGACGAATGTCCACTAGTATACGACTCGATTTTGATACTGTACTGAGCTATATGTTCATAATTTGACGCCCATGGTGTTGTACGTAATGGAGAACAGTAATTTGCCCAGTCAACTATTCAGTTCCCACGCGGTCAATAAGCAATAGAGTTCGGGTGCAATCTTCGGTGTACCGCCCATCAACGAACGTTCATTCTCTGCAGTGCCATCCGTCTTCTTCATATTTCAGCATGTTATCTGGGCGCCGGTACGCTGCGAACACTCTTCTATATATAATCAGCTAACTATAGGGCTGGACTCCCATGAAACGTAAAGCTCTGCATCGCTGTGTCCTGCCGAATCACACCGGTACGGTTCTGATTGAGCCCTGTATAGGGGCCCCCGAGGCACACATTAATAAGGAGTTACGTCGTCTGCTTGCCGTTCTATCGCATGGAAGCCAACTCTACTGCAGTCATGTCACAAGTCCGAGTTGTCGACGAGAACGAATCTCAGGATGTCCTTCACATGCCTCAACTCCCGACTCAAGGTGCTCACACCCCCTCACACTCCATAACCAAGTCTCCAGAAAATATGGCCTTTTTATCCGATTCTAATGCGCCACAGACTGGGAAAAGCACAGCAAACCAATACGCAAGAAACGAGTTGGACTCGTCTGAGGATGGAGAAATCGAGGAGCAAGTTCGCCCTGTCAACACCCCTCGACGAAGGATACACCTTGGCAATAATTGGTGGGGCTCTATGTCCGAAGGTTTGGAGCGAGAGGGCGCCAAAATCAACGGAGTCATATCAATCCCAATTCCATTCACAGGTCGCTTCTTACGCTTCAAGATTTTTCGATGGTGGTTCTCTTTCAATGGCCTGGTCATGATCGGAATCCTCATCTTATACACGATATTGGGCCTGTTCGCTTGGAACTCCACCCGTGCAGATCACAACAACATATTTGTCCTCCCGTCAACCGACAGCATTTTCGTCATCAGCACCTTGTCGACCGCAGGAACTACATTGATCAGCATGCTGGTTGGTTCAGCTCTCGAATCCGTTCGATGGCGTAAAGCAGTCAATGGTGTATATATGGCCACTTTCCTTGGATTGTCCGGTGCGACGGGCACACAAGGCAAGCTCGCACTGCTTCGATCGCCCCATATAGTCTGGTCCACAAAGGTCTGGGTTCTTATCGTCTTTGCTTTCGCCGCAGTGAACTACCTGCTCTCTAATATCTTGACGGTTGGCCTATCATCAGCAACTGTGTTTCAAGTGACCCACTGGGAGTTCAACACAATGTCGGGCATTGGGCCGTGGATCCCGCACGACCTCACGAGCATTCTTTATCCGACGAGTATGAATATGTCAATCCGTATCGACCACACTTACGATTCATTCACTTCCGATAGCACGCAAGTGATACAGCTCACGACCAACGTCACGCGGTTTCCTGGCTCTCACATCATTCCAACCGCTTTCCGCACTCTCTGTGACGACGGTTGCTTCGCATATCTCCTGCCTGGGACAGTGTCACAAGTTATCACTCCCGGTCCACAGCCGCCCATCGGACAGACTTATTGCAGTACCGCTAGTCCGGAAGAGTGTGTAACACCTCCTTTCGTTGTTGACGTGGGAGGCCTGCCAAGTCTTCTGGCTTGCCAACCGGGTGATATGTTGTGTATTGCGAATGCTATTCTCGACGATCGCAAGTCGCCCAATCGCTCAAGTTATGCGACCATGAATACCAACCTGACATCCTGGCCGAACTTTGCCGTTAGCGATACTTTGCGCACACATGGTCCTGCCGCAATGGTCTACTTTGAACCATTTACTTTCGACGGGCCTGCGGAAGCTTCGAATATGACCGGTTGTCAGTTAATGACGGCTCTGCCATACGCCATCAACATATGTTACAAGCATATCGATCAATCTAGTTTTGCGATTGGTTGGGCAACATGCGACCCAGTCTTACACAATTGCACCTTCAGCGACACGACATGGCGAGAATCGTTGACATCTTCCACGATCATGTCTCTTGAACAACGACAAGTGGGAGTCGTTCACTACTTGCCGACGGGTACCTTGAACGGCATCGAAGACTTCGAAGACGCTTCCTTGCTCACGATTAACAGTACTCAGTTTTTCAACGTTATCACCAGCGTCTTCGATCAGGGCACCGCCATGAGCAATCTAATTTATAACGCTGCCAACAGCCCCAACTTGGCTCACTTCGGTGCCGACCTGCGAATGCGAGACCTTCTGACTTGTACATATTCACTCGGCGCCTCACAAATACAGGTTGATGCCCCATTGGGTTCCAACGTGTCCTGGAATAACGCTGGACAAGCCGGTATCAACATTGCGACCGACCGAATCATCATGTCCTTGACTTCAATTATCGTTTTCGCGACCTTCGCGGGACTTACCCTGGTTCTCTGTGCACTCATGTTTGCATATTCCTCCTCCCTCATTACGCCAAACAATACCGACTTTTCTGAGCTGGATATCGCCTCTCGAGCAGCACATTTGCGTATCTTCGATGGGCTCTCCAATGCGGATAACAAAGAGGTGGTTGAGAGGATCGGGCAAGAGCGAATTTGGCTTGGGGAAAGCAAGGACGGGAGGAGTATAGAAATGGCGACCGAGAGACTTCCGCCACTGCAGTTGCACAAAGTGTATGTTTGAGTTGCCTCCCTAGTGCTGCTGTATTGTGCTTGTTATACTTGTAATTCTTTTCTGCCTCATCATCCATCAAATAACCAATGCAATGCCATACCACGCGATCATAATACATTGTGCAGATAGCTGCTGATATTAGTTACAATAAGCCGAAGTTAGCGATCTTACTCCTTCATTCGGGCCTCTACCCCTTCCTTGGACACCTGCTCCATCTCCTTGCTTACCTCGTTCTCGCGAGCCTCTCCATCGATGAAGAAGTCTTGTTCTCCATCCCAGCCGCTCCTATCGGCGGATATGTAGCTCTCCGTCAAACTCCCATAAGTGGTAAGCGCCATCGCCAGCACATCCTCTATACGCCTCCTGAATGTTTGTGATGCGCTCTTGACAGTCTGGTTTGAGTGTTAGCTTCATTCTTGGTTGAAATCACAGGAACGCACCATCGTAATAAGGTTGATGTCGGCATACTGCTCATCGAGTCGTATTCGCAACGCCGGCTCGGTCAGCTCTAATCCCTCTTCGTCTTCATCTTCGTCCATCTCCTTCCCTTGGGCATCTAAGAACTGCACTTGTCCGAAGTACAACTCAAGGAACTCAATGAGCTGCGTTAATCGGCGATTCGCTGCTGCTTTTGGCACTTCTTTTTCATGAACGTGATCGGCATGGATATGCCGTCTGGAAGTCACTACACGAATGTAAGTTGGAGGAAAGCACGGCGGATGGAAAGAACGAACGTTTCACAGAGGCCGGGCTTGCATCAATTCCGTGAATGAGGGCCATTGCAGCATCGGCGATCATGTCATTGCTCCCACTCGAAACCCATTCTAGAACGATGTAGCCTCCAGGGAATCCGTTTTCTTCTTGGGAGATTGTGGGCTCTTCTTTTACGGCGTCACGCATCTGAAAATCGACTTCAACATGGGTCAGGGAGCTAGACCGTATGAATCTCACCCCCTTAACATCCAGCAAGCCCATGGCACGCATCGTCCGTGTCCCTTCCGCGTCAACGCCCTCCGTAACAGATCCAAAGAGTCCTTCCAAGTGCCACTTGACCAATTCCCACGTTAAGCCCGGAATGCACAACCTCTGCTTTTGCACGATGGTGCTCGTGCTAAGACCAGTGAAGTCTCTCAAGTCTCGCGGATCCAGCAAAGTGTAGGTGAAGTCCTTCGACACCAGTAATCCAGATAACTGCGCACCAGCTTGTGGCGCATGTTCCGCCAGTGTGCCGATGGCTTTGGCAACACGCTCTCCGCGGAATATGAGCTCGAGCGTCTCGCAGTTCTTCGGGGTGTGAATGGTGATGTGCTCATTTCGCTCCTTGTATCCAGCTTGGAGAGCAGCTTTGAGTCGGAACATTTGTGATTGTTCACCGTGAACCAACACCTTCATGTATGGCCAATCAATAATTCGCCCAGCGCAGCGTACAGGATGCATACCACATGCGGTGCTCCGATTGCCTCGATGAACTCGCGGTTCTGAGCGTAGTCGACGTGTGCCGAGAACGAGATGTTGTCAACTGTGCAACGCAGCGGAATCGGCGTGCCCTTCATGGCATTGATTTCGTCAGGTTCATTCATGATGTTCTAGAACAGAGTCAGCATCATGTATCAGTAAAGATGGAGTGCGCCCGAGAGGATATCCGGGATGGAACCAGTTTGCTGTGGTTTTAGCATGTCGGGTCAAAAGGGAGGGGGGGGGGGGACAAGCTGCATACAATGATATGCTTTTGCCCAAACATGCGTCCCACGCATATCCCTCCTTTCTCCATTCGTCCAAATGACAACGTATAAACAACAAAGCACTCACTCTCGCCATGCTTCCTTCCACGGAATAACCCGTCAGGACGATCCCGTTCCTCCGGTCAGGCGCCCACATCTCTAGCAACTCTCTGCTAGCACCGCTCTGCATCATACCTGGACTAGCAAGAATGACACAAGGCGGACCCTCTCCGATCTTCTTTTCCCACCCGCTTGAGCGGGGGATGTGGGAGACGTGCCTGAAAACGAAGGGATTTTGGTTGTTTGCGAACCGCTGCCGGATGTTGTTGTTCATAACATGGACGTAGCCCTGGGTGAATTTCAGCTGAACGTTCGAGAGCGATCAAGTGAATACGGGCCTGGTAGACCGCCATGCATTTCCTCGCCAAGGCGGATGCGTAGTAGATAGGGAACTTGTGCAGTTCCGGGTGCTTCTCAAAGAAGTCATCCAGAATGAGCAAGAGTTCTTGCGCACCACCAACAGCAAACACGGGCATCAGTACATGACCGCCGCGCATGAGGATACGATGGATGAGCGCTGTGAAGGTGTTCAATCAGGCTGGTTCTGCTTTTCCAGCGAGGGTGAGACGCACACGTAAACCGCTCTTCCTTCTCTCTTCGCCCTTCTGTGCTTTGTACCCCGAACGTGCTCTCAATGATCAGCACATCAATGCCTGCACCAGGTGGCACCTCAGCACGGACGAGATGCCGACTTTCTTCCCTCGAGTAATCGCCGGTGTACAAGATCCGTAGATCCGCAAGCTGGATGAGAAACATCGAGGCGCCCAGCACATGCCCGGCAGGATAGGGCGTAAAAGAAAGACCCGGTATGACTGTTGTTGTTGTTGCGAAGGAGACGGCATTGATGAGCGGGAGGGTGATACTGAGATCCAACGGTGTGAACAGGGGAGGGGCGGATGTTGACTGGGCGGCGCTACAGGCAGCAGTCAGTGGAATGCTCGAGAGGACTCTCAATAACGAACCTCATCCGCACATAATCCTGCATCATGAGCCTGTAGACGGCTTTGGTTGGATGGGTCATGTACACCTTCCCTTTCCCGTCTTTGAAGTTGGTTTTCTCCATAATATAAGTCAGACTGGCTGCATGGTCGAGGTGAAAACTACGCTTTTCATTAGCACTCCAATGATCACCAAATCCATTGTATTAGCATACTGCGTAATTAACAAGGCGTCGACTGTACTCCAGTCCAAGTCATCGATGAACGGCAAAGCCGCCATTCCATGAAACGCAGGATGCACTCCAGCGTCGCACACTACGGTGATGCCCGCATGCTGGATAACACAGCAAGAACGACCGACCTCTTGTCCTGCACCCAGCAGCGTGATAGACAGCTTCGGCTCTGTGAGCGAAGTCGCCATCCTTGAAATGGACGAGGACAACTTGCAGTTGGTCGTTGTCGACGATGGCAAAAGCTGTCGAGTCAAAGGCACGGAGGCAATAAATCTCAAGTTCCAAAAAGGGTAAGTGCCCCCACCTTCAACGGGCGCTTGTTCAACGGCCTATCCCACCACATGCGATGCAAATACAGCTAAGATAAAAAGGCTTTCCTTATGAATAGTGCACGAATGTGACTTGACTTTATATCGTTATTCGTGAGTTCGGGCATGCAAGCCAAATGCCGACTACGGGTCTCAGCAGGCTTCAAATACTGCATTCTTTGATAAGAAAGCAACCTTAGCAAACAGCTACCACCATATACTCTCATTGTCACGATCATTCCAGATCAGCGTCTCTGTACAACTAACATGTCATCCCAAGGTAGATCTTATTCGCCTTCGCCCTATGTCGACATTCACGAGCTCGCCTAGGGAACCTGTCTGGCAAAACAACTGGGGTAATTTCCTCCGGTACTCCTTTTTCGGAGGCAGACTCCCTACAATGCCCCTCCGGGCCCTATTCCCTAGAGTACTCCAAGAGCCGGCCCTAAGCAACCCTAATAGGGAAGGTGGTAGTAGGGGAAAGAGTTGCACACAAGGGTCCGGTCACTTCGTCCGGACTGAAATTGTTCTTGTGCATTTTTGCATGCTTCTCCTCCGCTGTTTTTGCACCTCATGGTATCTGTGACTGAGGGGCAGGTCTTTGCTTCACGGATGGATGCTACTATTGCACTGATTGATCACTGTAACATGCAAAATGCATCGTGCCGTGTCAAACAGAGTGATAGTAAGCGGCTTATGATGCACTGTGATCACGCACCTTTATGTCTCTTCTCAGCATCGGTTCGCTTCAAGCAAGGTGAATGGAAGCTCATCACACTTGTCCCTCAGCATACCTGTCAAACAGAAGTCAAGAAACCACGGGCAGCTACAAGTCGTGCACCCTATGTCCGGCACAAAGTCAATCTCACACTTCCTCCGACAGAAACTATTCGGCCCGCAGCAATTCAAGCTATCCTTAAGAAGCAGGATATCGAAATCGGATACAAGAACGCTTATTTTGCACAACAAAACCTCTTGAAGAATAGCATCGAACAACAACACCTTGAATTCCAGATGCTACCTGCTTATGCACACCGAATTCGCTCACGGGACCCTTATGCAACCGTCGATATTTCTTTTGATGCAAATAACCGATTTCACTCGATCTTTATTTGTCCCTCACCTGCCAAGAATGCCTGGACCTATCTTCGTCACTTTATTGCAGTGGATGGTGCATGGACCAAAACGGCATTCAAATACATCCTTTTATTGGCAACTGCACACGATGCGGATAATCACATTATCAATCTGGCCTGGGCCCTAGCTCCGGGTGAAGATGAAGTCACATGGCGCTGGTTCCTTCGACTCTTATCTCAAGCGCTTCCAAATGTCAATCACCCATCGACTATTATTATCTCTGATCGCCAAAAGGGATTACTCAATGCAGTGTCTCATGAATTACCTTATGCAACCGAAGCCTTTTGTGCCGAGCACATCCGTGCCAATATCAAGAAAGCATATGGCGAGGCTGCGCGACGCCGAGTGAAGCCACTTGTGGAGGCCCGGACCCCACTAGAATTCCAGCAGGCACTGGAGAAGCTTCGAGAAGTTAGTGAGCCCGCAGCGCACTATATCAACAATATACCACATGCACGTTGGGCAACATATGCATTTCCCGGAACACGATTTGGGAAGACAACTTCGAATGGTGTCGAGGTCATGAACAGTGCATATTTGAAAGCACGGGCCTATCCAGTACTTCAACTCCTCGATTATATTTGGACCGACCAGATGACGAAGTTTTCCCAGAATGGTATAATGGCTGCAAAGCACTCGGAAAGGTTCACACCATATGCACAAAAGCGCCTGGAAGAAGAATCTGGAAAAGCAACCAAGTATTCTGTTTCCCTTTCGACAGCACTACACGGCAGAATCAAAGCTTCGGGATCACTCTTTGGAGAAGAATACGAGGTTCGATTGAATCCAGTTCAGCATACGGGTGTCTGTACCTGCCGCTTTTTCGAAGATTATATGATACCTTGCCGTCATGCTATCAACCTCTGCGAGGCTTCTGGGATAGCACCAGGCTACTATATAAGCTCTTATTATTCAGTGGATACCCTCCGTGCTACATACAGCTTACCGTACAATCCGGTTCTGCTCACGGAGCTCGAACCGGACATTACTGTGAATTCTCCTATGGGCCGCACCAAAATGGGGTGCCGCTCCATGAAAAGAAAGGAGTAATAATGGTAGATAAGTATATAATAAACAATTATTGTATATAAAGCATCATGAAAAAATGTCCGTGTGATCCGTGATTCAAAATGCGGCAGCAGGAATGACCGGACCCTTGTGTGCAACTCTTTCCCCTACCACCACCTTCCCTATCAGGGTTGCTTAGGGCCGGCTCTTGGAGTACTCTAGGGAATAGGGCCCGGAGGGGCATTGTAGGGAGTCTGCCTCCGAAAAAGGAGTACCGGAGGAAATTACTCGGCAAAACTGCCATCGTGACAGGGACAGCCATGGGAATTGGGAAAGCGATCGCTGATGCACTCGAAGCTGCCGGCGCTATTGTGCACCGAATCGATAAAGAACAATGCGATCTTACCAACTCCACTGCCGTTAACAGCTATATTGGCGCGCTGGGCCCAATCGACATCTTGGTTAACTGTGCTGGCGGTGTCTGCGTGCAGGTACATCATCCAATCGAAGAGATCACCGACGAGATGTGGGAATCGGTGGTCGATGCAAACTTGAAGACCGCGTTTTACTGTACCCGTGCCGTAGCGCCAGGAATGAAGAAGAAAGGATGGGGCCGCATCGTCAACATTTCTTCCGGCGCAGGCCGCAGTGTCAGCCTGACAGGCATACAGGCGTACACGAGCGCGAAGGCGGGACAGATCGGCTTCTCTCGCCAGATGGCACACGAACTCGGGCCATACGGAATCACGGTCAACAACATCGCGCCTGGATTTGTATTGTCCAACCCTACCAGTATCGCCCAGTGGGAAAGCTACGGGGCCGATGGGCAGAAGGCGATCCTCGATCGAGTGGCAACACGCAGATTGGGGAAACCAGAGGATATCGCCAATGGTGTCATGTTCTTCATCAGTGAGAACAGCGGGTGGATCTCGGGACAAACCATTAGCATAGATGGCGGGTCTGCGATGTTCTGAGAAAATAATGATATTGCTGTCAATACGAAACACATTGGACGACTCCCACGTTCAGGGCGATCCTTGTTAGACATCGGTATCGCTATTGATCGAGGTGATCGTCCGTAGATATGTCGCGACATCCGACCGCACCAACATGGTCTCGTGTCTTGTCCAGTTCATGGACAAGTTAGCATCTTTGAATGTAAATTGCTTGCATCTTCTGCACGCACTTTGTGACGTTGCAAAAACACGAAGGGGACATCGTCCACGTCTTGTGCTGTTGAGTGTTGCCAATCGGGAAGCCTGGTGAGGGAGGTTCCGAGCTATCCAAGATGAAAAGCAGGCGGTTCCCTGGCTTCTCGTGTGATTTGGAGCAGTTCCGCAACGGGTATCATTCCGGATCCAGCTGGGGTAAGGCCCTCTAAGTTTGGGAAGGCATGTCGCAAGAAATCGGCCGTGTCAACAGGATTAGCGGAAACAGAATAGTCGGTGTGTAGACTCAACAGTTGGGAGGGAGGGCATTCCTTCCAGATCATTCTTCTTGGCGGCATATTATAGTTGACTGAAAGTCGTAAGTGTGTCAGTCGGGGGCATTCCTCGGCGAACATAACGACTGTCGACTTGGTGACCAACGGCAGTATTCGTTGAGAAGCTGCCCAGCCATCGTCGATCCAGAAAATCTGGAGAAGAGACCAGGCGGATGTGATGTCTGCTAATAGCTCGTCGTTCCACGGCATAAAGACATCGGAGATGAGCCAAAACTGCTGCATCTTACGGCAAAGGAGTAGAGGACGTAGGGCGCTGGAAATCTTCTCGGTAAACGTATTCCTCGGCTCTTCATGCAAGGACATCGATATCCGTAGGCTTGAGATAGATTTGCTCCAGCGAGTTGACAAAACCCGACACACTTGTTGTAGGTTCAGGGCGTGTTCGGCAAAGAAGTGCAGTTCCGCAAGATCAGGTGACGTGATCGACTCCAATAATGAGAGCAGCGCGGGTTGATAATAGGATTCCTCAGAGTCGAGCTTGAGTGAACGAAGGGCAGAAAATCCGTTAATTGGTATCTCGTAAGGTGCGAGTGGGTTGCTATCGCTCGTAATAACGATGTCCAGGGCTTGCAGGGAAGAGATTTGGGCCAGAATCGGAAGGAGAAGAATACCGTCTGTGACCGACTTCAACTGAAATTTTTGCAGGTTGTTCAATTGCGGGAGTAATACCGAGAAAGAAGGATCCAGAAGGTTGCTCCACGTATCCACAAGAACTCGACCTTCAAAGAGGATTCGCAGTTCTTGGAGGTGAGGGCCGGAACGCACCGATGAAACGAGTGTCTTGATTAGAGAAGGCTCCATATGCTGCCTGATGTCTACATGGACGCAAAGAATCGACAGTGGCCATTGAAGCAGTGTAGAGGCAGCAGTGATCGAGTATCTGTGGAATAGCACCAAGTGAAGTGATCGAAGATTGGGCATGAGAAGCATGGGATTGGGGTGGCTTCGGATGGAGACAATGACTTCTTGGACAGAGTCTTTCCTCAATAACATCTCAATCAGGTCAAGCTGGTGAATATGCCGTCCATAATGAGCAAAACGTGTCCACTCATGAGGTTGTATAGGTCGAGACGCTAGACCGAACTTGGACACATTAGAGAGTGATGATCAATGAGGTAGGATGCTCACGGATATGGCTAGATCGTCCGGCAACAAGGCTCTTAACGCTGGACCGTTCGCAGAATCTCTCCAGATAATGGGTTCAACTACCTCCCATATAGACTTGCTCGTTTGGCCAAAGTGGTAGACGTCCGAGATCCGATTACTGAGGAAGTCGACAATGACGAGCACGAGCTCGGGGAGCGAAAAGGCATGGTGCATGGAACACGGTGAGGAGCTGAGACGAAGACTTCTTTAAGAAGGTAAATTGAATAACATGAGGGAGCACAGGATTGTGCTGTGTCCGGTATTGTCGTGTTCCTGACGGATGATCAGGTCGTCTAGTGGCGCGACGCGACAGCGAAGACACGTCTCTTGCCGACGAGCTCGACGTATTCCACGACATCTCACGCCCTCAATTGTGAACATTCAATAACCTATTATGCAAGGATCTGTCTAGTTCATCATGAGCACTTCGCCGTTGCTGAGCCCTCCTGCGCCCCTCACCCCGCTTCCTCACTCCCGTCGATCATCACACTCCGGATATCCACACCATCAACTCGGCCACAGACCGTCGTCTCAGGCATCGCTCCGCGGACAGTCTCTTGGATTTTTCCTGGGAGAAGCACGCAGGCCTCACTTCGAGACACTCGAGGATGTGCCGGGGACACCAACGTCGCCGGTCGGCCAGGAATATGGCTTTCCTATTGAAGGAAGTGCTTTACAGCTAGAGGAGTCGCCAGCACGGGAATCAGACATGCCTCCAAGCGGCGGTATCAAGGTTTACACGTCTCTTCCACCTTCTCCAATTCTCTCTTCCGACCCACCGCGGGATTCTAGCCCTGCAGATGCTCTATCTACGGGCCGCTTCCCTCCAGCTTCAGAACTGCACCGTCGTTCTCGCTCAGGCTCCAGAGCTTCCCATAGGAGAGATGACGATAGGACCCGAATGCCGAGAGAGCAGCGCCCGGAGGAACTGTTCAGTATCTGGGATTATCTGCGCGCCGAATTACTAGCGACTGATGCAGACCATCACCAGGAGATGAAATGGGAAAGGGTTGAGAACTTCTTGATGATACCGCTAGCGGTGGAGAAGGCGAGTCCATTACCTGTTATAGCGACTGGCTGATCAACAGTTCTTGCAGACGATTACGTTCGGTTTCCTTTTGTCCCTAGATTCTTTCCTCTACGTGTTCACCATTTTGCCCATCCGATCAGTAATTGCGATCTTCCGAGCGTTGGGCCCTCCTGTGGTAGCGGTCTATTCAACGCTTCTTCCATCTTTCCTTCGACCGAGCAGACCGCATCCTAAGGTATTCTGGAAACCTCTTCCGCCCAGTTCCAAGGCGGATCTACTCAGGATGGCGCTCGTCGTCTGCACGTTCTTCATTCTGTATCAGTGGAGCGACACCAGTCGCATATATCATTCAATTCGAGGACAAGATACCATCAAGCTCTATGTCATCTTCAATGCTGTCGAAGTATGCAGGATCCTTGCGTGTATGAGTGCCAGCCTGATCGAGGAAACATAGGTCGCCGACAGGCTCCTCTGTGCTCTTGGTCAGGATCTTATGGACTGCCTGTTCTCTCGAAGTACACTTGCCCCAACCACTTCTCAGAAGACGCTCCGACGAATACGAACGACCGGCTATTTCTTTCTGAGTCTATTATATTCTTGTCTGTTGACCTTTCCCCACCTGGGTAGCGGCTGATCGGCTGCCTGTAGGCGCACACGCTATGATCCTCATCTACTATCTCACATCGCTCAACGTCGCGATCAACAGCTACGACAACGCCCTGCTCACGCTATTGCTCTCGAACCAGTTCGTGGAAATCAAGGGCAGCGTATTCAAGAAGTTCGAGAAGGACAACCTATTCCAGATCACGTGCGCCGACATTGTGGAACGTTTCCAGCTGGGGATCATGCTCTTTGCAATTGCGCTACGGAATATGATCGAGATGCGTGGCTCGGAATTCTCGGTCCTGCCGCAGGCGTTCGCAACCAAGGCGTCTAACCAAATGTGGGCAATCATCTCTGTGGGTACACTTAATCTGTGAATAAGCAAATTCTGACAGATGTGGTCTCAGCCGGTGGCTCAAGTCCTTCTGTCTGAAGTTGGCGTCGACTGGTTAAAACATGCCTTTATATGCAAGTTCAACTCCTTCCGCGTCACTGTATACGACCGTTTCACCGACGTACTGTGCCACGATCTCATCTCGCTCCGCCCCTCCCGGAAGCACACATTCGTAGACCACTCCCCCCTGGTATCACGTCGCCTGGGATTAGCAACGATACCGCTCGCTGTTGTCCTCTTGCGCGTTACTTGGCAGGCGCTGTTGATCCTCCATCAGCAAGTGCAGCAACAACGGGATCCATATCTTTGGCTGTGGTGGACACTCTTCGGCTTAACAGTTTGGTTCTCGTACGTTTTTATCGGTTTGTCGTAATCATGGTGCTTAAGTATACATAGAGCGGTGGCGTGCAAGGTCTTGCTTGGCCTTCGTCTGCTCAGCTATGCCGCTCGCCGCAGGGACGGGTTTCAGAAACGAGCCAAGCAGGATACAGTGAACAACGTCGACCGTACCCCGATCGGGGAGAGCGTCGAGGAACAAGCCTATAACAAGAAAACGCTTGCGATGCTCGAGAGATCCGAAGACGATCAGCGTGTCGTACCGGACATGGTTATCATACCGGAGGAGCAGAGGTTGTGGGGTTATAGTGGAGGGGAGAAGGAGAAAGAGAAGAAAAAGAAGAAGACGTATGAGTTGGAGGAGCTGAGTCGGTGGACTATGGTCAAGCGGATATGGTAATGCAATGTACGATATTGAAGATCGAGAGTGGGCCTAAGACAGAGCGCGGTTATGAGGGTTCGGAGTGATCGTCCATGCAGTGACCTTGAGTGAGTCGTCATCCTGCAGACTAATGCATTGCAGCTCTTGTAAGAATATTCTTACAAGAGCTTAATTGAGCGGGAGAGTGATTGGTACTTATGCTGCAGTTAAAAGTTGCATTAATATTATCTCAACCTAAGAACGGTGCTGGGGTCGCTCGGGTCCGGGCATGGGTCCGCATGGGGAAGGAGTCAAACCTTATGTTTATCTCGGAATCCTACAGTCGCGGTCGGACTTAAGACTTGTCCATCTGGTTATCGTGGATCCTGGATGACAACCGTGTCACCCACTAACTCTCCCACGTATGTAACCCAGAACATTGTGAGTGAGTGATCGTCACATTCCTCAAAACATAGTGATGATGGTTCATATGACTGATGAAGTAACTCTACCAGTTCCTACGATTTCCGTCCGTCCTTCGCTCCTGGTCCGAACTCGGAGAATTATTGACCAACCGAATATTCGCGATCGAATTAGAGAAAACATCTGAGTACTCCACGATGCCCCAAGAACGCAATTTGATAGGACAGATGTACCGAGCACACCGCCTGCAGCTTGTTAGTTTCGTTGCAACCCTGCAGACGTGGAACATCGGCATGGGCTACACATCGGAGACAATCGAAGACTTATACCCGGAAGATCTGCTCTTGTAAGGTCATAAGCAACTCGACTTGTAGACACCGCCAGCCAAGACGAGACATGGGGAAGGAGATCGACTGTCAAGAATGTTCGATCCATGAGACTCGTGGAATGAGAAACGGGTGGGAAGAGCTTCTGCCCACTGACATATAAAACTGCTCTTTGGAGAGGTCAACCATACACTATACTTCGATCCCCTCCAAACTCCAGTACCCAACATCAAGCTCCTTCTGTATTCGAAACTAAAATGGGCGACACGTTTGCTCCTGCACGCGCACCACCCACAAAGCTAGGCGAGCACCGGATCCTTTGCCCAACTGCTGGCATACGTGTCTCCCCCCTCGTTCTGGGGGGAATGAGTCTGGGAGATGCGTGGAAGGACATCCTCGGTGGGGGCATTGGGAAACAAGCCGTGTTTGAGATACTCGATACTTACTGGGAAGCGGGCGGGAACTTTATCGACACGGCGAACAACTATCAGGACGAGCAGAGCGAGAAATGGATTGGGGAGTGGATGGAGCAGCAGAAGAACCGGGATGAGCTAGGTTCGTTGGCCGATTAGGGTGATGTCCAAATGTTGACGCGTCGAATGGACAGTGATCGCGACCAAGTACTCGATCGGCTACAACACGCACGAGCGAAAAGCCAAGACTTACGTGAACTACACGGGCAATCACAAGAAGTCGCTCGTGCTTTCCCTGCGCGCTTCCCTCGAGAAGCTCAAAACGAGCTATGTCGACATTCTCTACGTCCATTGGTGGGACTACTCGACCAGCATCCCCGAGCTTATGCGTGCGCTGGATGACGTGGTCAAGAGCGGGCAGGTGCTCTACTTGGGTATCAGCGACACGCCTGCTTGGATCGTCACTAAGGCGAACGAGTACGCCAGGGCGCACGCATTGACGCCGTTTGTCATCTGTGAGTCCTACCTTATATACGTGGCCTGATTTGCTAATATATGCGCATATTCTTAGATCAGGGAGAATGGTCCTGTATGAAGCGTGACTTTGAGAGGGACATCCTCCCCATGTGCATGCACGAAGGGATGGCTGTCGCTCCCTGGGGTGTGATCGCCGGCGGACGGCTACGTACCCAAGCACAGCTCGCCCAGCGAATCAAACAAGGTGGTAATCTCCGGTTCGGGATGAACGAGCTGTCTGAGAATGAAAAGAAAATGAGCGCCGCGCTCGAGAAAGTCGCGAACGACATTGGCGGCGATGCAAGCTTGGCGAACGTTGCTATTAGCTATTGTTTGCATAAGCAGCCCTATGTGTTCCCGATCATTGGCGGGAAGAAAATCTCTCATCTGAAGGAGAATATCAAGGTGTGCACATTCCTCGTCACTGTCTGTTCCCTCTAACGAAATATTGTAGGCGCTGAGTATCCGCCTCACCCGAGAGCAGATCGACTTGCTCGACGCCGCCATTCCATTCGACATCGGTTTCCCTCAGAGCTTCCTTGGTGGAGACCCGGCCATGTCGGCGGACGGGAAGAGCACGAACTTCATTCTCAATGTGGGGGGTGATCTTACTTGGGTTAAGGCGCCCCAAGCTATTGATTGAGCGGGAAGCGAAGCAACCTGCTGAAGAATAACAACATGCTAGAAGAACAACTGGATTTCTGAAATGTCGGACCGGATCACGTAGATACCCATTTTAATGAACAGATTGCCATTGATTCATCCGCACTGAAGAATCGACATTATCTGCTATTGGAAATCATGCTTTCGATCAACACAACATAGCGGTTCAGGCCGAGTATCTATGTCACTGATCGAAGAGCGGACATCAAATGGTTTTGTCCTTCGAACAGGATCATCGTCTGGGAATGTTTGCGGGACGCCGCTCCCCTCAGACAGCAGCCTGTTTCGGCGCAGTTACATAATGGATCCTCGCAGCAGAGTTCAGCAAGAAGTTCTTGCACACCCCGTTGCTCAGCGCCGGATCAGGGCCGATAAAATCATGCGGGAACCCAGGCTTGAACTCTATCGCGCTGTCGAGGTAGTCGATTTGCTCTTGAGTGAGTTGGATCTTGAGTGCCTGTTCAACGTTAGCCGACGTGATTGAAGAACAGGTGAAAGGCACGACGGACCTCGATGTTTTCTAACAGATATTTCGTCTTGCTCCCTCCGATGATGGGGAACACGTATGCCTGCTTATGCATGACATAAGCGATGGCCACATTTGCCAGTTTTCTGCGCGTGAATAAAGATATTAGTGCGTCGCTTGAAGCATCTATGAGCAACACATACCCCGGTTGGCCAACCTCTTCCGCAACCTTCTCCAATGCAGCGCTCACAGCCTTCTCCTCCGGGGTAAGAGTCTGCGAACCCCATCGCATGCTTCCCTGCTTGAGCCTCTCCTCAAGCTGGGCCTTGGTCCTAAACTTCCCCTGGCCAATCACGCCCCAGGGAGCGAGGCCCATCCCTTCCGCGTGGCACATGGGGAGGATGTCCCGCTCAAACGAGCGTTCGAGGCAGGACCACTTGCCCTGGTAAACGACAAATTGGGCCATACCGTGATCGCGCGCGTACTGGTTGGATTTGGATACGACCCAGGCTGAGGGCTGTTAGTGCAGGAAGGGAGAGGGGAGGAGAGGAGAAAGGGGGCGTGCCGGGCGTGTCGGACACCCCGAGGTAGAGGACTTTTCCAGCTGCTACGAGGGAGTTGAGCGATTGCATCAGTTCGGGAATGGGGGTGGTGTAGTCCCACCAGTGGACGTAGAGGAGATCGATGTACGTCGTCTGGAGCTTCTCGAGACTGTCGGCGACCTGTACTCGCGCCGTTAGACGAGAGTTGGGGGGAAAGGAGGGAGTGCTCACGGAGACGTGCAGCGACTTGCTGCTGTTTCCGGTAAAGTTCACATGGATCTTGTCCGTGTTGCGAAGCTTGCGGTAACTCGTCGTGAACTTGGTCGCCAGCACTGTGAGGCTGTCAGTTCCCACTCACTTAGCTAACAGAAAGCAGGTCATACCAATCTCGTTCCTATTCTTCCTCGCCTTCATCCACTCCCCAATCCATTTCTCGCTCTGCTCGTCCTGGTAGTTGTTCGACGTATCGATAAAGTTGCCCCCGCTCTTGTAGAACAAGTCTAGCGTCTCGAACGCCCCTTGGAGCGCGACGCCGTCCCCCATCCCCTGGCCCCAGGCGTCGCCGATGGACATACCCCCTAGGCAGAGGGGGGAGACGCGCACACCAGCCGAGGGGGAGAGGAGCTGTCATAAGATGAGGTTGGGTGTTGTACCCAGGAGAGGACACGTACGCGGTATTCGCCCAGAGGGGTATCAGCAGGAGGAGCGGGAGCCCACATAGACATGATCGTCAAGATAAGCGATTGATAATGAAGTAAAGGGCAAAAGCAAGCAGATTAGACTTTAGCTGTCGAGGACATCCCCATTCTTATACCCGCCAGAGAGAGTCAGACTGGATCACGCTCATTGATCAGGGCCAAACGTATATCCTTCGTTGTCCATCGTCGTTCCTCACGGAGGCATGGGAACTTCGAACACGCGCGTTCTGCATTCCTCACCCATGAACCTATGTCCATGTCATCCTGCACATCTTCTACGCCAAGTGACGGCTAGAAACATATCCGTCAATTAAGTGAGTTTGTCGTGTCAACTTCCTTCGTGTAAACCGACGTCGGCTCTTAGGAATCGCCGTATCTTTCAGCCATTTATCATCGGCGATAACGGCGGAAGGGTTCTGGTGGAAATCCATGTTCGTTACCAAGAGACAATTACATCAGCACAATTGCTCATAACATCAATCGAATACAATCAATCACCCATAAAGAATGGGCCGCCCAAGTTCTGTGCTTCTCAAGGAGAAGTATAATTGTGCGTAAGGTTCCAAACCGCGAAGTCTCGTGTGGGGTAACAGCATCTCGGGATCGAAAGGAAGCGTGACATTCAGCGTGGGGAGTCATCCACCTCATCCCAGCAGTATTTGTCAAAGCATGTCTGACACTAAGGGGTGCGTTCCAGCCCAGCCTTTCAATAAAACGCTGGACGGCTGCGCACTGTAGGCCTGTTAGCAGTGCTTCAAATGTTGCAGGAAAGAGGAAACGCACCCGAGACATTCCGGGAAGTCGCCGTTCAGTGTACCTTTTCCCTGGGTAACGAGGTTGAATGAGTTAAGCAGCACCTGCTGCACCTGGAAGTCCGGAAGCGCATTCTCGATAAACGAGTAATCAGCGTATGTCGAATACGGTGCATTAGAGATGTACAGCACAAGCGGCGCGTCTTTCCTCGTGCTGCCGAAATGCGTAGGCCTGGTCGAATATCCCCGGTTGAGCATCGTCGCCGCCGTAGGGACCTTCGGGAACGGGACCCAGTGCTGCACGGCTCAGGTGTACGTATCCAGCAAGTTGGTGCCGTTCTGCCAGCCGTAGTCTGTTTCCTGACTAGCGTCATAGGCGATGATGAAGTCCGGCTTGCGAGAAGGTTGCATCACCCCAGCGAGAGGAATGGTCTGCCCGCCTTCGGAAACGTGAACCCGCTGTAGTTGCCTTGCAATGTACCCCATTCGAAAGGGCCGGACTCGATCTAGAGCACGTGTGAGCTCAGGCAGCAGAGGTTGAGGAAGATCTCACGATGGTCGAGTTCGACGTGGGATGAGCACGCTCTCGAAACTGGGAGGTTTGGGGTCAACCACCACATTCTCCACAAGCGGGAACGGCATAGAGAAGTTCTTGAACGCTGCCAGCCGGGCTACTCCGCTCCAAGTGACATTCGCGCCATACATCGCCCCAGGCACAGTCTCACTTGACACTGCTCTACCAGATAATCCGCCAAGCGACGGGGAATCCCGCTGCCGCCTTCTCCCCTATCTGCTCAAATATCGTATCTTCATAATCGTTGATGACGCTAGCGTTGTCCCCCGGGAAATAGGGCTTGACAGATGGGTGCCGGGCGAGCAGCAGGTTGGCAGTGGTGGGGAAACCGGAGACGCTGTATGAGACGACCGGGTAGGAGCCGCCTGTAGGTCTGTGATTGGAGCAGGCCGCCAATGCGCTGGGCGAGCTGGTGGGTAATGGGAGTGAACTCTTGGAAGATACCCAGTCCTATTTGTCGTCAGCTGTAATCTTCTTCTATAGTTGACTACACACCAGTGAATGTAGCGACTGACCCTCCCCCACTCATAGCCAGACTGATAACAGGCACATTCTCCGCATAAGCCTCCAACTTCGTCACATAACCCTGCACATCGCATCCCTCCCATATGAGAGCGCCGAGGTACTGTACCCCTCAAGCGCGGCAGTGACGACAGCTTTGCGCCCCTGTATCCAGGCTGATTCGGGAGAGCTGATGTTGGTAGCAGGATGCAGCCAGGTGATGTTGAAAGGGCACGACACGTAGGTGGGGCGCAGCCTGAGGGGAAAGTTGAAGACTGGACGACGGATATAGCCGCTAGAGAGACAAGGAAGAGTGCAGCGAGCATAGTCGGGTTCCGCTGACCCTGCGTTCGACTGCGTTACTCGTCATGGTGGACGACGATATACCCCCCTGGACTCGCAGTTGCATGCTGACTTCCGCTCCCTCTCGACGTGCTTCAACGAGCGCCGTGGTCACTTGGTTTGCTCATCCGGCACACCGTCTCTTTGTGTATCTGAGCACATCGAACACTTCTTGTCCTTGGAGAGCGACACCATCGTCAAGTCGTCGTTGAGCCAAGACAGGATTCAGCCTGGGGGGCGTGCAGCCAGATGGTCAAGAGGTAAGTGAGGAGGAACAGGTGTCAGGGTATGAGTATGACTCTGCGCCATACAACTTTCTGTCATCAGTTCTATTTCGTGATAATACATCAAGAATAAAGGAATAAAGATAAAATGCAAACGAAGGGGGTAAAATGCAAGTATGTACAATAATGCCAATGTGAAGTGATAAATGCTGAGGAAGTTACAGTAAGATCGTAAGGAGTCAGCACTCCAATTTTGTTATACCAAAAATAAATGGCCAAAGTATGAATGTGCGGATACCTCATGTCCGAAATTCTATTGCCGTTTGAACACTTTACCTTTCAAGCACTCTCAAATGGAGAAGTCGACCTTTGGCACTCGCAGCCTGCAGAACTTGACGTCCTCCACGCTCACTCTTGAGCAACACCGGATTCCCAATTCCTGGAACTGCTTCACCCCTTCGTTCTCCGCTCCTAGCCAGCGGTTAAACGCCAGCTGTCGTACAGCGTACCCTTCAACAGCGGCGCATTCCTCGATCTTGAGCCGCTCCAGCTCGGGGCAGAGCCAGGAGGCGCTCATCGCTGGGTTGCTCAGCCAGTTCAGCGTGTCGTTCGTGATGTTACAATGGGTGAAGGCGAGGGTGCGCATGCCCGTACAGGATCGGAGGAGCATGAACAGTTCCCACAAGTTCGTCTGCATGCCTGCTAGCGATAGAGCTCGTACGCCTTTCCTGCTGTTCTTTCGTGCTTCTTTCGAACTGATCATGAACGTCTGTAGGTTATGCAGTTCACGCAGGACGCTATTGTGCAGCTCTTGGTAGCCGTTCTCGCTCTGCTGGTACGGTACGGAATTGAGGGCGATATCGACCGTTGTCAGGCTAACAGAAGCAAAGTGTTGCAAGAAGAGGACGACGTTGTCCGATCGGCATTTCCACAGGCGCAGTTCCTCAAGTTCGGTCCATACGATATCCCTCACCCCATCAAACGGCTCTGGTATCAACTGGTTTCCCCAGTTGTCGATCCTTAGCGTGCGAAGATACGGATACACAGCTGCGAGCGTTCGCAGTGTACGCAGGTTGTTCGTCCACGCTTCCGGGCGGGAGATGTGCAAGTTCCGGAGATGTCGGCGCGAGCCGATATGCGTGAGGATAACACGGTCAAAACGGATCGTCTCGATGGACCGGGGCATTCGGTGGGTGAGCAACGCCGAGTCTGGTCGTTGAGGCACGGGGGTACATATGCTGATATCGAGCGTTCTCAGCGCGACGGTCTCTTTGTCCACCAACTCCCGAAGCGCGTGCCTCAGCGTAGAAACAGAGTGCGTCCGGATCGTCAAGCTCGTCATACACTGCCGATGAGGCTCAACAAGCCGCACCGCGCCATGAAAGAAGTACTGGTCGTTTCGCACTTCCTGTAGGCTGAGGTTGCGTAGATATACGGTGATGGGGCTGCCTTCGGCGTGTTTGAGGTTTTGGGCTGCGCGGGGGAAAGAGCTCGGGCCGGAGATGACGATATGTGACCAGAGAGAGGGGACGGTAGGGGATATGAGCTTCCATCGACTGGGAAGGTCAGTCTCCCATCGGCAAGAAAATGGGTGCACCTACCGGCAGACAGAGAGGGCTTTGGGACCGAAGGCTGGATCGAGCCTGCCGACCTCGTGCATGATACGGTAAATAACATCATCAGGCAGCTGGTTGATGTCTAATCTCGGTTTAGGTGCAGCCTTCGTCCGTCTCCTGTTCTTTCCATCAATCAAACATGTGCATGCACGACCGCGAACACGTACGTCATCCTCTTCCTCTTCGGCGTCCCCCTCTGCGTCTCTCTCACCCGCTGCTGCTCCGCATTCGCGCTAAGCGTCCTGCTCATTCCAACAGCGGCTTGAGGGATAACAGGGTTGAACGCGAACTGCGCGCCCGTCGCTGCTGGTGCAGGAGCAGTAGCGACAACTGGAGCCGCTTGTGCCCTTGCCCGAGTGACTCTTCGCCCATCCTCGCTGCTGTCCAAGCCATACCCTCGACGACCTCGCTTGCGTACCGTTCGGAGAGAGGGAAGATGCTCGAAGATGTCGTTGGGAATCGGTGCGGGTACTACAGGCTGGGGCAGTCCAGTCACGAATCGAAGCGCGTTATGGAGTACGTCCATGCTTGCTGGAGATGTTGCTCTGGTGATCGGAGAGATCCGTAAGAGGATGAAGGAGGATGACGCGCTCTGAGGAAGATGATCAGAACGACGCGTCAGACATGAAAGAGTGAAGCGAGACATCGGCCGACGTCATGGAAGCGAGACATTGTACACGCTCTGTGCACGTCTCATGTGTCGACGCGCTCGACATATCGTGGACATGGTCACCTGGCGCATCTAGTAGCGCGGCTCCCCACTGTTACATCTCGCAAAAGATGGATCAAGTCCATCACAGCTGTCCATCAAGCTGCCACCTGGACCGTGGTCCACACCGTTGTAGCCACAAATCTCCCCCATCTCTCAGAAAAACGCGACGAACGAGACACGCGCTCAAAAACGCGTCGCCCCATGCTCTCCCCACAAAAGCTGAGACTCACCGAGAGCTTCTCCTGGACAAATATCCCCACCTAGCAAGTACGAGTGTCAGAGAGATCGGTATGCAACGCGAGTCGGGCGCCTGTTATAAGAGAAGAGTCACTGGCGGTAGGCTCATGTCCCTACGTGATTTCCTAGGTTTAATTGCAATGTCCTTATGCAATCCTGTTGCACATGTAGCGGATACAACCCAAACATAGCGGGGGCTCCCGCATGTGGGCACACTCCCGTTAAGCCAATCACGTTACACCTTCCTCGGACCCCAGACTGCGCGCATTCTCACTCTACAAGCCACCATTCTCTGATGCGGGCGATAAATGTAATAAATCACATCAGTAGGGTTGCCTGTCGTCAAGCGCTAGACTATCCGGGCATTGATTGGCTAGATTAGGCTGTGGCGATCCCTGTCTTCAAGTTATACAGGCCAGGTGGAGGCATTCCAGCTGATTCTCCGACGTTCTTTGGTATTCCGACTGCTTCCGTTTCCACTTGACTTCCATTCTTGTTCAACTCAACATTGTTGTTTAATTATCAACATGCGGAGTCTCAATTACAGCACCCTAAGTAGTGAACTCTGAACGTTCGGAGCACTTTGACTCACGAGCTCGATGAAGGGCAGACCCCCGGGCTGAACCCGAATAACCCACCTGAGGCTGGACACTTTCCCACCTATGGACATGGTTCAACCAGCGTCTTCCACTGAACCACGCCCCTATCCTAATCTCCTAATCTCCGGTCCGGTCCAATCAACATACCGGATCCCGACACCGTGTTGGCCTTTCGCTGCCAGTACATCTATATGAATTCTTGCGTGGTTGAGACCACGCACGCTGGCAACGGCCTGATGTGGCCTGATCTCTGACTTCTGACTTCTGACTTCTAACTTCTTCATGACCAGCACCTCGGAATAGCTTCTGGTGTGAGAAAAGGGTGTCAGTTCAGGTGCGTCAGCGTTCGAGCCTCAAGATGTCCGTGGAGCTGGAAAACCACCCGTTCTCATGAATGTAGGATCGCACGAGTTCCAGATACGCTCGAACTCAAACCCCTCTCAGAGTAACTGGGCACACCAATCTCATCCAAAAGAATAAATACTAAGACCAAGAACAACAACAGCGCAAACGCAAACGCAAACGCAAGTGCAAGCTATATATAGTACATACTCACCTTCTTTCCACCACCTTACAGCCCTACGTCCCCTTCTGAACAACCCCCTTCAGCCTCGCTCTCAGTCCCTGTCTCTCCTCATGCCCCTCACCCCCGTTACCTCCATTTCCATTCCCACTCCCTCCACCATTCCCGTTCCCGCCCCCTAGAGCATATGCATCCAAACTATCTCTCCTCCTCCACTCCCCCCCTCCAGCCCCAGAGTTAGGGGGAAAGACGTCCAAGCTCCTTCTCGTCGGCCGGTCCTCGCTCTCCCTCCTCCGGTGCACAGCGGGCGGAGGCTCGAGCTCGCCCCGCGCCCAGGGGTCTGCCGTTGGTGAGGGGGACGTCTGACTCTGAGGTAGCGGCTGGACTTGGACTTGGACTTGGGGTTGAGAGATAGACGGAGAGGAGGGCTGGGTAAATGCCGAGAAGAGGTTGTACGGCGTCGTAGCCGAAGTCGGATAGCCAGAGTTAGCCGCAGCGGGAAAGCCAGGAGTAGCATGCGCCGGGGAAGGTATAGGGAGACTGGGCGATGCCGGCCACTGCTTGTCTGCATTGGCGTTCGGGCCGCTGCTAGAGCTGTTGATCGTACTGCTGCTTGGACGGGTGTGGGCGCTGCAGCTTGTGGTGAAAGATGGGACTCGGACGCCGGGAGCGGCGCGTACGATCTCGACTGTCTCGTGACACAGGGCGACTCGGGTCCATCGTCTGCTTCTAGTATACTAAACAAACGCATTAGTCTTATTTCATACGCCGGAGTGCGAACCAGGGAAGAGGGGGGAAAGAGGGCAGGGAGAGGCAGGAAGAAGAGGCAAAAGACGACGAACCTTGCCCATCCCGCCTTTACTCCCCCTTCCCTGCCACTTATTATCACAATACACCCAACCATTCTCGTCCGTCTCCAGCGCTTCGTCCGTGTCCTCCCTCCTAGACCCAGGCTCGTCTTCATCCTCCACATGCTGCGCTTCCCCCACACCAGCCGTAGCAGCGCCTGCACCAGCACTCGCCGGAGGGTCAATGACACTCCCCGTCCGTCCCCTAGCGCGCTTGATGACTTCTTCCACACGCCCCTTGGCTCCTTTTCCCTCCTCCAGCTCCGGCAACTGCAAGGGCAAGCTCTCCACCCCACCTCCCTCTTTCCGGACTAAGACGCGCCAGTCCGGGTCCTCCCATGTCCAGAGTGCTTTGCGCACTACCTGTAGGTCGGGGGAGGAGGGGTGCGGGAGGACGGTCTGAGAGGGCGAGGGAAGGGGGAGCGTGCTGGGCGACGGGGCTGGTGCGGAGGGGCAGGGCAAGGGCAGGGCAGTAGTGTATGGCGCCGGGTCGGAAGGGAGGAGCGCAGTCGTCCAGTCTACAATGCAAAGGGTTGGCAAGGCTGAGTCCCGTAGAGAAAGATGGACGCACCCAAACCCATCCACCAACGCTGATTCTCCCAGACGTCAAACCTGAACCTCATAGGCGGGACGCTCATCTCCCCCAGCTTTTCTCCCTCCTCGTCAGCTTTGTCCTTCCCCCCAAAGGAGACTTTGAACATCTTCGGACTGTCTTTCTTCGGTGGGAGAGGGGCGAGGGGCACGTGGCTACCCGTTAGGAGCGCCCAGGCGCGCGCGAATGCGTACTGGACCAGGCCGGAGGAGAGGAGGATCTGGCGGGTGGCGAGAGAGAAGGGTGCATGCCAGGTTAGGAGAAGGGTGCCTGCGAGGGCAAAGAGGATGGGGATGGGGACGAAGTAGGTGAACACCAGCCAGAAAGGGTAGATAATCCCTACTGCTCGGAGTGCTTTTGCCCATTCTAGCTTCTGACTTCCGGAGCTGAGCGTGGAGAGGGAGAGTACTGGAGGCTGCGGGAGCAGGGAGAGGAGAGAAAGAGTCTTACTGAGTGTTGCTGGGGAGGCGGATTTCCTGCTTTGGACGGTCGGGGGAGGGGCGGGGATGTTGAGAAGCAGGATACGGGAGAGGATGGTGACGTCCAGTGGTACGGGGTGCAAATAGTATAACAACACCAGGGGGAGGGCATACCTACGTCCGCCGTCAGTAGTTAGTTAACTACGGATTGGCAGACAGACGTACCGAATAAACGCCCCTAGACCACAGCACAGACCCCACCATCCAACAAGGAGGATGAGGGCATCGCTCTTCCGACCTTCTTTCCAGAGGTAAACGTCCCTCGCCCATGAGAGGGCGTGGATGAGAGGACCGTAGGCGGTGAGGAAACGGAGGACGGGTGTTGGGGTGGTGGTCAGGAAGGAAGAGGAGGAGGAGGATGAAGATGGAAGAGAGGATGCTGTAGGTGGGGGAGTGTCACGTGCTGATGATTGAGGAGATGGCATGGTAGTCAGAGTGAGAGATCAAAGTGAACAGTGTCGTGCGCCTTTGACCGTGTCATGTGTAATTACCATATACGGAGTGGCAGTGCATAATACATTATGAATTGCATGTGATTAAATGTGGAAAATCATATCTCATTGTTTAAGTGTGTCATTGAGGACGAGCATAAGTACATAGCAGGATTAAATACACTCTGCACAATCCCCAATCATCACTCACTCATCCCAGCAGCCGATCCCAAAGCCTCCCAATAACTCTCACACGCTATATACCCATTTTCAGCTCTTCTCATATCAGCAAAACTGACCACCTATCATGGCCGATGACGTCTCCCGTCGCGCACCATTGAGCACCCTTCCCCAGCTCGCTCTCAAGTTTCGTACTAGGCTTGCCTTTCTCTACCCGCAAGCCACAATCCACATGCTCGAGCTCCTGCCCGGCGTCGTTAACCACGGGCGGGACGGATGTTACCAAATCCCCGGTGTTGGCTATTCTCCACGTGTGGACGTTGCGTGATGCCACGAGGGAGCGGAGAGAGAGACCGAACTGGGAGAGCCCGACACGGGGAGAGCCAAACGTGTGTAGGTCGACTAGGACAAAAGGATACTCGCTTGTGGATCGGCGCAGTGCCTCAGCATAGAAGATCGTCGCGTAAGAGGCGCCTAGGGAATGACCCTTGATGTGTGTGAGATATAACAGGCAAGGAAAAGGGGAAAAGCGTACCGTAACGTAAATCGGTACCGGATTCCCATTTGCCCCTCCGAGCACACCGGCCAACTCCGTCAAACCCTCAACGATCAAGTCTGCCTCCATCAGCTCCTCATGCACCAGAAACAAAGTAAGGACGCACCAAAAGGAGCCTTCTTTGTCGAGATGTCGTACCGGTCGAACAGGGCTTGAGAGACACCTTGACTCACAGGAGCCCCGAAGCATACGTCTGGTTGTTGCCCTGCTGACGAGACGAAGGCAGCGGCCGTAAAGTCCAGGTCCACGAGCCATTCCTTTACGTTGCTTGGTGTCGTCCCCTATACACGGTCAGCTGGACGAAGCGGAGGGTAGAGGGGAGGGAGGACCTTGAATGCCAGGAGGATAAAGGGCGCAGAGGAAGATGAGGCAGAAGGGTAGAACGCCCCGCAAAACGGCCCTTCCATGTACCAGTGGGAGAGTGGGTGATCCTGCTTCCATCAGTTACCACGCGAGATGAAGGATGGGAGTGACGTACATCCACAAGATCTGTCATCGTCAGTTAAGATATTGTAGTAGAAGAAGAGGCAAGCAGGCCTACCACACAACACCATAAACACCATTCCCCAGGTCCCCGCCTACGCCCCTCAGATCCCATCCTAATCAAGCCACAATTGAAACCGAACAACTCACAATATCCTCAATCCCCTGCTGCGATTCCTGCAGCCCGTCTTTCGCTCCCTCGTTCGACCCGGCAGCAGCTTGCTTGACATTGTCGAAGTTACGTAGGTACATCGCCGAGGATTGCATAAGCGCCATGCGGGTGATATTCCATTTTATCTCCTCCGGAGAGTTCTCTGTAGCATCAACGTCAGCGGGATCAACAACAACAGAAACTCAGCCATCAGCGCGGCAGGCAACCGGCAACCGACTCCTGAGCTGAAACACGCACTAACAGCATAAGCAGCCTTCGCTGCCTCTATCAGGGACGCGCTCTCCCCCGTCTACTGGGAGAGCAAAGCCGCGTTCTGCTCCGGGCCAATCGCGATCGTGCCTATCCCGAGAAAGTTCCCAATGGAAGCCGCGGTTGCATCAATCGAAGTTGTAGTCATTGATTCAATCGAAATTGCATTAGTTTCCTCGATCGAACTTGCATTCGTTTCCTCAATCGAACTTGCAATCGTTTCCTCAATCGGATTCGCATTCGCTGCCCCAATCGAATTCGCATTCGTTTCCTCGTTTCCCTTGCTTAATGCAAGCGCATCCTGGATTCGGGGCTGATGCAGTTGCTCAATGTGTCGGGCGAGGATAGCTTTCCTCACTGTTGCCAGATCGGTTTGAGACGAGTGCGCAGGCTGTTTTCCGGTCATGATACAAAAGAAGTGCTTCACAAAGTTCAGAGTACGGTAAAGAGGGGGATCATGGACGGGTTTTATAGCCAGTCGGGGAGACGGAAATAGGGACGGGCAGGGGGAAGGAGTATAGAATCGCGAAACAAGAGAGAAACAGGGGCGAGGACCACACCGAGGAGGCATGTAAGCTTTGGTATAGAGGGATGAGGAAGATCCGGAGCTGGTAGGAGGCTGTAGCAGAGGGACATGCGAGATGATGCCTGCCGGAGTTGGACTATTTGAGAGATTCGAGTACCACAGAGTTTCTGGTCATCCTTCCTCTGTGCCGAGCTCCTATAACACAGCATCCGATTGTCATTCCAGAAAGCAAGCTGGCGTGATAATCCGGCGAGAACGCTCTCGCTGAGCTGAGCTAATAGTGATTGTGTTGAATGTGGGTGCCTTTGACGCCCGCAATCGTCCTTGTTTGCCCAGAATGAGAAGAAGACACTGTCACTGCCACCTTATTCTCGCATGTGACATAGAAAGCGTCAGTGAAACCAGCGCGATGTTTCTGTTCACTTGTCTGTAGATGTTGCGCAAATGCATGCAACTACGAGAATAAGCCCATCGGTCCTCCGGCCGTCTTTTCAGAAGTCGACGTCCCCGGGCCTGGCCCGGAGGCGACAGGAAGAGGAGTAGGACACCGTGAGCCGGGGCAGTGTCACGTACACCTTGAATTAGAACAGGCGGTGGCATGGCAGTACTAGTGAGAGTGAGAGAACAGAGAATGAATCGCGTGAGTGAGGGTCCTGCATGTGAAATTACTATATTCGGCGTGGCACTGCACAATTAACCGATTGAATGTGACTATTTTTACGCCCCTCATAAATTAAAGCGGCCATGACAGGAGAGCATAATAAACATATCTGCATTAAATACAATGATCCCAATAGCCCCTAGCCCCTCCCAGCAGCCGAGCCCAGAGCCTCCCAATACCTCTCACAAGCTACTCTTTCTCAGCACTGCTCCTTCCAACAAAACGTCCACTTACCATGATCAATGACCCCTCCCCTTGCGCACGCCTCCGCCCCCTTCCCGAGCTCGCTCTCCAGCTTCATACTTGGCTTGCCTTTCTCTACCCGCAAGCCACAATCCATATGCTCGAACTCCTGCCCGGCGTCGTTAACCACGGGCGGGACGGATGTTACCAAGTCCCCGGTGTTGGCTATTCTCCACGTGTGGACGTTGCGTGATGCGACGAGGGAGCAGAGGGAGAGGCCGAATTGGGAGAGGCCGACTCTGGGAGCGCCGAACGTATGTAGGTCGACTAGGACGAAAGGCTCCTTGTTCGGAGGTCGGCGTAGTGCCTCGGCGTAGAAGAGCGTCGCGTAGGAGGCGCCCAGGGAATGACCCTTGAACTGTGTGACCTATCACAACCAGGAGAAGAGGGAAAGACATACCGTAACGTAAACCGGCACCGGATTCCGGATTCCTCCTCCGAGCGCACATGCCAAATCCCTCAAACCCTCAATGATCAAATCTTCCTCACTCATCCATCAGCCTCACATGCAGGAGCGAGGAGGGACGCACCAAACGGAACCTTCTTTTTCGCAATATCGTACGGCTCGAACAGCGCCTGGGAAACCCCTTTACTCACAGGAGCGCCAAAGCATACTCCTTCCCCTTCCCCTGCTGAGGCAGCCGGAACAGCGGCGGCAAAATCGAGGTCGACGAGCCATTCCCCTACGTTGGTCGGTGTCGTCCCCTGCACACGGTTAGTGGATCAAACGGAGTACGGAGGGGGGGAGGACCTTGAATGCCAGGAGAATGAATGGTGTGGAGGAAGAGAAAGTCGGGAAAGAGGGGTAGAACGCCCCGCAAAACGGGCCGTCCCAGTACCAGTGCGAGAGAGGGTGATCCTGCCTTCATCAGGTATGCCATGTGAAGGATGGGGTTGACGTACATCCACTAGGTCTGCAGCCGTGAGAGATATGTGAGGTCAGAAGTGAGGGAAAGGGCCTACCGCACAGAACCATAAATTCCAAACCCCAGCTGCGCGCCTGCAGCCCCTCAGCCCCACCCAAACGACCCACAAATCTCAGTAACTCACAAGCTCCCCAATCCCCTTCTGCGACTCCTTCAGCGCTTCACTCGCCCCCTCGTCCGACGCAGCAATAGCCAACTTGACGCGGTCCAGATTGCGCAGGTACATAGCTGTGGATTGCATAAGCGCCAAGCGGGTGATGGGCCAGTGGATCTCCTCCGGGGACGTCTCTGCACAGTATCCAGTTAGCGGCATCATCATCGTCATCAGCCAGGGGTACCGGCAGTGGTAGACAACTCGACTGCAGAATGGATGAACGCACTAGCAGCATAAGCAGCCTTCGCCTGCTCTACCTGCAACCCGCACTCTCCCGTCCACTGGGAGAGCAAAACAGCCATCTCCCTCATAGTGGTCGCAAGCACGCCTATCCCTACCAAGTCCTTCATCGATTTGGATTTCGTTTCCTCAATCGAACTCGATTTCCTGTCCTCACTCTCATTGCCTAATGCGAGCGCACATAGGAGTCGGGGCTGGTGCAGTTGCTCAACGTGTCGGGCGAGTATAGCTTGCTTCGCTCTTGCCAGATCTGCCCGTGACGGGAGCGGAGGCTCGTTTTCTCCCATGAGACAAAAGGCGTGCTTCACCAAGTTTTGAATAGGGGCAAAGAGAGAGCTCATGGAGGCGTATTACCTCCCTCGTCGGCGGGGAAGGTGGGGATATAGACTCGCCAAAGAGGGGCAAGGGATAGGGGCACTGGTTGATGTCAGCAGGACCACGTCGAGAAGACACGTGAGGCATTGGTAGAAAGGGGTGTAGAAGATCCGAAGCTAATGGACGCTCTAGTGTCGGGACATTTCCGATGAGGCCTGCAGGAGTCGGACAAATTGAGAGTTTCGAGTGTATAAGAGCGGAATGTCCGATTGCACCTTTCTCCGAGTCAAGGTGTAGTAGCAAGAGGTGATACAATATCCAATAGCCATTTCGAAAGGTAAGGCTGACAGTAAATCAGTGCAGGGACCGTTCTTGTCTAACTAAGGTTGTGGTGAGTGCTGTGAGCACTGGTGTCTTAGACGCCAACAAACATGTCTTGCCGGGAAAATTCGAGGGAATTCCTCCGGTGCCCCCTCCCCGGGCCCCTCCGGAGGCAAATGCTCAGAATGCCCTCTCCTTCATGTGCTCACATAGCGCACAGCATTTTCACCTGTCCAAAACTAGGGCAGGAACAAGTCAATGCTACAGGGGTCCTAGTATCTGTTTGCCACAGTTAATGTATATATATATTCATGACAATGCATCAACATGAAGAACCAAATAAACAGAACATGATTCAATAAACAATTCCTTTTCTTCTAACTTTTTCTCTCCCTTTTTGCTGCTCTGAGATATGTTTGGGGCCACTCCATAATGACAGGACCCTGAGCTTACCCTTCTTGCCTGCTTGACATGTGATGGAAGCTGCAAGTTCTGTGAGCATGTGAAGGAGAGGGCATTCTGAGCACTTGCCTCTGGAGGGCATTGTGGGAGCAATATCCCTGGGGAGGGGGCACCAGAGGAATTCCCTTGAGAAAATTCCACCTCCACCTGACATGCCTTTCCACAAACATGTGGGGAAGGCAATGCTTGTCCCTACCACAAACTTGTGGGTGTCCCAGGGGTTCTTCTAATCCAGCACTAATCCAGCACATATCCAGACACATGTGGCCTGGTGATGTGCTTGGACCCTGTACACACAGTTGCATGACTACCATAACAAGTCTCATATTGTGCTACACAACTTCCTTGTATTTCTCACTTGTTATTGCACTTGTATCTGCTGGATGCCATGAATACTGCAACTGGCACATCTTCATATGCTGGATGCACTGGGAGCAAGTTTGCCCCAAGTTCAAGCTCACAAAGTGCACACCTGGGCTTGTATAAGGCATCAGTCACAACCGTAAAGCCAGTTCATGGTATGATGAACCTCAGTGTACTTCAGGATAACCTTATTGACAAGCCAACAACATGTCCTCTACTGTGGGAGATTTGCCCATGGAGACTGGGCTTTTAGCTCAGCCTCGGCACCACATGCTCATGCTCAAGGCCATGGCTGCTCATCAGGAGCAAGAAGAACTTGAGCATGCTTGATGGCATGCAGGTCAGTTTCCCTTTGGCCTCCACCTTGATCTTGATCTTAGCCCATTCTCAGCAGCACCTGCAGATGCACAAGCCAACACATTTCTCTCTCAGCTGCTTGGCTCTCATGGCATGCACCCTACATCAAGCAATCACTTTGTGAGTTTTGGTGAAGGAGATGAAGATGCTATCATGACCATGGCCAAGGATGAGGATCATGAGCAAGAAGAGCAAGAGCAGAACACAGTCAAATCCATGTGGTTTTCATGCAGGTGCATCTCTACAGGCATGATCTTCTAGTATGAGTCTCATGCAGTTGTGCAGAAGACAGAAACATTGGACAAGACCAAGGCACCAAGCAGGAGCAGGCACACATGCCTGCCAGCTAGGCACTAATCATGCCCGCTGGCAAGCCCAAGTTCCTGCTCTTGTCAATGCATACTTGCAGTGGTGACATGAGCATGGTGGTGGTGTGGATACTTCACTAGGTCCTGAGCAAGAGCATGGGGAAGAAGGAGGTGAAGAAGGAGGTGCACATATCAAACTGCTCACATGGCAAGGTATGCACACAAGGAGCCTCATCTTGCTCTCACCATGCTTACAAGCACTTGTAGGGGTTCAAAGCCATACCTTTCATTGCCAATATGATGGCAACAGTCTCCTTGCACATGTTCTTGAATGCGGATACCTTGCCACAAGCCCAGATCAACCTCAATTGGCCATCTCCTTGGGCATGATGGAGGTCTTGCATCATGCATGCCTCCATGCATATGTTTTGCATGAGTCTTTTGCTTGCATACTTTGTGATGTTCATGGAGTAAGTTGTCAGTCTTCCTATCCTGTTCTTGCCCACTGTCAGGGCACCAGCTCATTGCTTGGTCAAGAGACATGACTAAG